CCGTGCTGGCACGAGAGTAGACTAGGTATCGAGGTTAGTCATCTTTGGCTGAGTGTGAGTGTGTTGGAATCCTGGATACCTTGTTGGCGCCAGTGCCATTGCCAATTCAGCCCCGGGTTGAGCCAGCAGGTGGGTATAGCTGCACCGAATGGCGAGATGGGAGTAACCAAGGATCGGAGACCGGGGAGGTGTCCCAGGTCCTGACCACGTTCAGCAAAAAGGAATGAAGAGACGCTCTGTGCTCACCCTCTTGGCCTTGAAGTAGTTGAAGAAGCGGGATGCCACAAACGTCGCGACCAAAGCGACGGCAACAGAAAACTTGTCCAACATATTAGCAGGGTAGATGCAGATTGGGCACCTCGGTGAGGTACTTAACCTGGCATTCTAAGGCACTCCCTGAAACACCAACGCTCCTTGGAACACCGCCACTCCTTGAAACAGCGCGTAGGCTTTTAATGACGAGAAATTCGTTATAGGCGCATTCCTTCTGGGACTGTTGTAGAAAAATGCTAATAGACGAGTGTTTATAACGTTTATACTTCAAGTCGGAGAGCTAGATAAGTATTCTCATACTTTGATGGCACAGTGATGAACTTCTCAAAATGGGCCAGAAGCGGGCGCTTCGTTGGGCAAAGCTAAACCGGTTATGCGATCTCTACAAGCCCGCGATGCTTGCGGCCGTATATCCCGGCTTCGAGAGCCTTTGTGCTAGGGAGTTCGAATTCATAGGTTTGAGGTGCGGATGCAAGTGCCTACTTGGGCAGATAACTTGATGACTTGTATGGGCGCTAGGACTTGCCAATGCATGCTCTGCCTTACAATGTTGCAATGCTCACGAACACGGGCTGCATACCCACTAGAAGGAGCGACGCAAAGTAGAGGTGCGGAGTCCTCGGCCGTGCTATTTCCCACGGTCACGCACATGGGCGTCTTTTTCCAGATCCTAGATCGTCACGGGAAAAGCGCGTGCATCTTCGCCATGCTCCTTAGCTTACACTACCGCAACGGCGATACGCATACACCGTCACCGTAGAGCTTATACTATACCACGACGGAGACTGTTGCCGACCTTTCGGTTCAAGCATTTCCGGCAAATGTAGGCAGGCCACTGGCTTCCAAATCTCTCATGGCTCGTGAGGTTTCTGCAATACATCTTTGCGCTGATGGCCGACGAGCTCCCTTTGAGTTCCCCTCACGGTTTGGCCCGAAGCCTGCGTGTTTTCGGGACATTACTACTTGCACCCGTCATTGGCTCTGGATAGCTCACGGCAGCCCTGAGAACGGCTATGCACGGGAGGATTGTGGCGCAATGATCGACGGGGCCTGTATATACCTGACGGTATTCGACACCTGGACACCTCACGATTCGCATGCGCCTTCTTCCCTTGTGCAAATATTCCTAGCATATCGCAGAAGCACTCTGCTCGTCAGTGGTGTCTTAGTTATCCACGCCCCGCGCAGACTGGGATGTGGCTAGTCGCCTGCATAGCTTCCATGTCCATTACACACTTGACCGTTCCCCTGGTATGTTACTGACGGACTGTGGCTATCCAGTGCATTCGATTGATCCTTGGACCAGGTGTCCAAGGGCCAATGCCCCCCGATCATTTTGACAGCGCACGGTAAGCCTTCGTCCAACGATCATATCAGCTGTCTGATCTGAGATGAACGTGCCGGACATTTACATAAATACGGTGACTGTATCTGTTTGCAGCAGACTTGCAGTTATTCCTTTCTCTCATGGCACCCACGCCCTCTCCTCCCCTTGCGACAGCCAGCCCAGACTCCATTCAGCCAGAGGCTGCCGCCATTATCGAGGCTTTCGCAGAAGCTATATGGCCAGCCATAAATTATGTTATTATTATCACAATCTTTGCGTCTATGCTTGTCCCAGTCCTCATCACGCTCCTCTGGTTCTCCACCCCTACGACTCGCAGGCGACCCATATCTATATTGAATGTAGCCTCTATCTTAGTGGGCATCGGAGTGGCAACTTTTGGTGATTACATCATTGTAAGTGGGAGTCCTTGCTCTTAGGTCACTCAAATCAACTCACACATTTGCAGCTTATTGAAATTCTAAATCCCACAGTCCAGATGAGCGGGTCTGCAAGTACTGCCTTCCTCGTGTTACTCTTGCTAGCTCCATGGGTAGCCGAACTGGCGCTATTTTTCCGGCTTGCAACAGTGTTTTCGCCTCGCCTCACTTTGAGGTTGAAGTTGGTTGCCATCTTTGCCTTCCCAGTCGTTGTGAAGTATGCTCGGCTAGGCTGCCTGATAATGTTCTGGAGGTTATTCTTTCGTGAGGTGGCCCAATACTCAGGTGTGCTGACGGAAACAGCAAACATTGGCTGGCGACAGTTTCCGTATGTCAGAGCAACACGCCTACTGCAGCTCTTCGACAACGCGTGAGTCTTCGTCTGTCGCCTCCTGGGTGACATGGCTGAGTTCACCCTGTATAGCTATCTATTGACAATTTTTATATGGAAATTGTACAGCGCGCACGTCTTCCGAGGACGGGATGGCCAACGAGTCACTTTTGGTGCCGAAGGTACGGCTCTAGATCCATTTCACCACATGTGAATAACTGCTTGAGCCTTGAATTATAGGCTCTCTGGCGTCGCGACTCAGAACATTGTTCTGGATAGCAGTTGGAAATTTTGTCTTTCCTAGTGAGTTAAAGTCTTCAACTAATGCAGATCACGAATCGCTGACGGGAGATTGGAGCTATCTTCAATATTGCGGTCATAAGCGTCATCTTTGTGGACCCTCAATACATGGTTCATACGGGCAACCTTTTCATCACAGACTACTACATGTCCATCATCAGTGTCATTTTTGCAACTCGTAAGCAGCCTTAACTTCACACAGTTAATGCAAGTCAACATCTTTATTGACCTTGCGTTAGTCTGGAGTACAAGCACATCAGGAAAAAGACTTAGGTCCACAATGCTACAAAGTGCTACAGGAGCATTTTGGAGCACTACTCATGGGCGCTTCTGAGTGGCTAAGACACTGAAAGCCCAAAAAATGGCGCGGGCAGAAATCAAACCCACAGCCTGAAAGTAACCACAGCGCG